AACAACATGACTTTGAAAACAACAGTCAAATGAATAAATAAAACATGAACAGGAATGAATTTGAACATGAGGGACTGGAAGTGGGAAGGATACTGAACTAATCTTGATAACAATAAACTGAACACTATCATGACATTTTATAGATATATGTAGAACAAATACGAAGAGACCAATGTTAATTTTTGTCTGTGATGTAATGCACCTCAATTAATTTGTCTTGGACATTTGAATTTAATGAACTGAAATTGTTTCCTCACACACACACAAAAATAAAATAAAAATAAATGACTAATAAATGATCTTTTCCATGACATTCTAATTTACTGAGATGCACCTGTATATAAAATAACTAACTAACTAACTAACTAACTTTTATCATTATTCTTTAAAAATCTATAAATACAGATAAAGATGCATTTCAAGAAATAATCACGGACACAAGTGTTATTGTTCTAAATATCAGCATGACGGACAACAATATGACATCCAGAATCTGTAAATTTGAAACATGAATAAAAAAGTTGATTTTTGGCTAAACTAGGCTGGAAGTTTGTACAAAGGAGATATAGTTCCACATATTCGAAATGGAGATCTTCCCATCTTTTAAATACTTTGTGTTCCTTTCAAATAAAGTTAGTTCTAAATGAAATCCAGGCTTCACGGTGTCGACGATCTGCAGACTCTATGATCTAAAATGACTTGGGTAAAGGAAACCTTAGACATTATGGTTAATATTGCATCCATTAGTGAGTGCATTTAGGATTTCACTTTCATTTAACTGCTCTGACAGTACCTGGTCCTCAACAAAAGACGAAATATAATTATGTAATGGCTTTAATGACCAGCAGATGTCAGCAGAGTTATTAAACAAAGACGGCAAGGATTCACTGTCAGGCCTAATGACCCTTTCTGAGGTGACAGACCTCAAAATGTCTCAATTTAACACACACACACACACCCAAATGAGTTTCCTTGTGCCACTGCCAATATTCCATTTATACTTGATCGAAAAATAAATAAATCAAAGTGTGTATGATGAAATCCCTCCCTCATTTATTCCATTTTGATTTTATCCTAGTTTTCAATTGGTTTCTCCTGCCAGATGGTGACTAGTTTCATCACTCTAATCAGTTTAAGACGAAAAGCAGTTCATTTTCATTATCTACTGAAGATCAGTGTTCATTTTACACAGATTGTTTGCTCTTTGGTAAATGTGACTCATTTGTAGACTGACATCAACATGTGTTCATTCAGTTTTCCCAAAATAACGCAATAAAATAGTTATTAAGGCATATTAGCAGGTCGTTTCCTAACGCTGAGGGGAAAAAAGGGAAATGACAAAATCAACCTACCTCACGCTCCCCTACTAAGCCTAAATAAACTGTGAGGATCTCCTTGCACTGCATATTTACGAGCTGGGCTCCCCAACGGCCAAGGCATTTCCCTGGAAACAGAAGGTATGGGAAATACCATTCAATAAGGCTGCAGGAGAAAAGAGGACCCCACACCAAAACTGCTTTTCATAGGTATGTACACACACACACACACACCAACTGCCAATGCAACACACTATCCTGCTGAAGTACACACGCTTGTATACACGTACAAACTCACAGCTGTAAGGAAACTGCAAAGACATCACAGACGGCTATTTTTATGTGCATGGACTGATGCACAAAGACATTTTTAGGAGTGACACCTCACCTCCTAAAATGTTATGATGTGTGGTTCGACCCCCAGGTTCACCAACCTGGCCAAATGATTTTTCTTCCATTCAGAGAATGCTACTATATAGCGGGCAAAAAACATGAGGAAAAAATTCATAGTATTCATAAAACAGTAGGCAAAAAGTCTCCGGATGACGTATTACTTCTGTCCAGATGAGGCCATAGGAGAGGATTTTTGAATGGCAGTGAAGTGATGTAGCTGACACTGGTAGGTCACTTGACAAAAACAACATGGAAAATGTAGTATGTCCAGATTCATACTATATAGACTTTATTTTTCAAGTAGTCATGAGGTTGGCTAGTTATTCAAAAGGATTACCTAGTCAGAGAGTATGCGATTTCGGACACAGCCGATGAATGTAATACATTTACATTCATGTTGCCCGCATTCATACTATAGTTTGACTATCAGTTCAGTTGTGAAGTAAGCTTATTATAAAAATAAAAAAAACTACTCAGACAGTATGTGAATTCAGACACCACCCCAGTGTACATATCAATCAATCTCAATCATCTTAAAAGCGAAATCCTTGGATCGTTTGCAGGGAGCATCAATGCTCACTATGCTTCTTTAACGGAAATTCTGAAGCAGAAAACATGAATCGTATGAGCCAGCTGAATAAAGTATTTGTCATACTGTACTTTAAATGACATAAATAATAAGTAATTTAAGAAAGATATTATCGGACCTGTTGTTGATAAATACCATTGGTGATGTTTTATAACTCAAGTATGGCTAAGCAGTGTCCCAGTCAGCATGTCCAAATACTCCCCATGCACTGCATCCATAATTGCAAACTGTCTAGTAAGTATTACATTTGGTTTGAAGATAACTTTCTGAGCTTTAAAAAAGTATGCGCTATGAATGTGTGTAGTATGATTGAAAATCAGACATCCACATCCACCATGTTGTTACTGTCATGTGACCGATATGGTGTTAGTTGCAGGGTTTCTTTGTCATTCTCAAATCCTGTCCCATGGCCTCATGAGATAGAAAAGTGTCCACTGGATGCACACTCCAGAATCATGCTGGAAGTAGTAAGACATCTAGTTACTTGTTCCCTACTGTTTTAAGAATAATATAAATACTCAGGTCATATAGGCTACTGTTTTTTTTTTTGCCTACTGTATAGTATGTATATTTGGATGCTGAGCTGCATGCAATTTTGGCCACTAGAGAGCATATGCATGTGACAGGAAGTAAGGTCTGAAAACATCACAGCTCAAAATAATCCCACCATTCATCATGTTCAGGAATGTTCAAGGAATATGTTCCAGTGTAAGTTAAATTAATTAGATATTATATATAATTTGGTGGTAAAACACAGAATGCCGCACAACTGCTTTTTATCATCTAATTAGTAGCACCACTATTAAATACAGTCATCTGTTAAATAGGGACTACTAAACTGACATTGAAAAGTTTATTGTAAAGTGCAAAGTATTGAAAATCTAAATGTGTAGGCCTAAATAAAGCACTGTTTATTTGCATTTTACAACAGTGTTGTAAGTGCGTCCCATCGCCTAATCAAAAGTTCTACACACACTTGAACACTTGAGCCTAGTACAGGAAAAATGTCATTTAAGTTGACAAGTGGTCAAAGACTGCAAGTGTGGGTATTGGGACAGAGCCAATGTGAGTCAGGGAGGCAGCAAATTACAGTACACACAGTGTACTGATTCACTACCTAGGGAGTTAGAGAGCTGATTGTGACACACCCACAGTCTTACAGCATGAGAGCTGTAATCAGCTGTTGATAATTAACGCTAACTTGACGTCAGCTCAGCCTGGTGAAGGAAAACATTGTGATTCACCTGTATAGAAAAAAAAATCCCACCTCCAAACTGTTGACAGCACAGCTGCCACAACACCAGGAAGCTTCGCTACTTCATAAAACCCAGTAGGGAGGAGGACAGGGGTCTCGTTAACACCCTGGGATCTCCTTTGTGAAGCCCAATTCATCACAGCAGCTCGCATGACAGAGTGAAAAAAGGCACATCATTTTGTTCAATATTTCCAACACGTCATATTTTCTCCATTCCTTGGGCGAGGGATCAGTGCCAGAATGTTTCGAGATACCTTGTGGTATATGTTAGTGGTCGTTTTAAACGCTCCGCATATAAAACTGTTGTTGTTCTCAGCTACTAGTGAAACCTTTTAATAGTTGTGGGGTTCCCTGGATGCTTCCTGCTCCCCTCCAGATGGGCTCAGGGTTTGGCCCATGATGCTGTGGGGTTTCTATCGGACACACACGTGCACAGCTGCATTTCAACAACACAGATGAGCCCGAGTGGAAAATGTGTGCACTGCATGGCATGTTGGCTGAGATTGTAGAAGCCCTGGTAAAAATGAACCTAGTACTCTGGGTGAGAAAATAAGTAAAGGGCAAATAATCTTTCATTCGTGATCAAATAAATAAATCATCTGGGCTGTCATATGTGGCCCTGAACCACGAATCCAGTCATAAGGGTCAATTTTTTTTATAAATAAGCTTTCAATTGATGTATGACTTGTTAGGATAGGACAATATTTGGCCCGGGATACAACTATTTGAAAATCTGGAATCTGAGGGTGCAAAAATATCATTGAGAATATCGCCTTTAAAGTTGCCCAGATGAAGTCCTTAGCAATGCATATTACTAATCAAAAATTAAATCTTGGTATATTTACGGTAGAAATTTGACAAAATATCTGCATGGAACATGATCTTTAATTAATATCCTAATGATTTTTGGCATAAAAGAAAAATCGATCATTTTGACCCCTACAATGTATTGCTGGCTATTGCTACAAATATATCTTTGCTATGAGTTATGACTGGTTTCGAGGCCCAGGGTCACATATTTCTGTCTCAAAGCAAGAAATCATTTCCATGGGCTGTTTTGTGGTCTACTTCTGTCACCAAAAGATGGCAGCAGTGCTAAATGTCTAATGAATGCTTATTAGTTTGAGATAGAGAAATCCACATTTGGATGAATGAATGAAAGAGTAGGTTTCATTAGCTATGTTTTTTTGTAAGGTATAATATTTTGCTACCCTCAACATCTGTAATCGTTAAATGTCACATCCAAACAGTTGTGTTGTGTTCAGCCATGAAGTGAGCAATCCACAGAGAGCATCGAGCTGTGTACAGTATCTTCTCCACTGAACAGCTGCTGTGTGCGGTCGGTGCACCTGATCCCGCGTCTCACGGGCGCATTCCTTGGCCAATAGCAGCGCGCGTCCCTGCGCAGGCCCCGCCCACACGCGCTCATTGAACTTTCATTATTTGCATCAAGCGCCCCCACATCCACTTTTACTTTCACGCTCTTCTGCAGACGGTTCAACAGAGCACTTTGTGTTGGTCAAGATGCGCGACGCGCTCGCCGGTTTGTGCATTGGGATTATACTGTTATTAAACAGCGGGTTTGTGGTTATGAGGAGGCAGGACTCGTCTTCAGCTCTCGGCAGTATTTTCCGTACGAGGTGCGCCGCCAGGTGCCTGAGCCTTCACAGCACGCGCATCGCTCTCTCTCCAAGACATTTCCAGGTAAGGAAGAAAAAAGTTGAAAAAAGTGAATGATATTGAGTGTTGTGCTCATATAGGCTATGTACCGAGTAAGACAATCAGATATAAATAAATAAATGCCTTCCACTGCCTCATTTATTACTAATAATCAACTTATATTGATTTTTCCCCCACAGCAGATATAAATTATGTTTAGCTTTAAGTGACCGATAATACTGTTTTAATTGATAATACTAGCTAATTGAAATGCATAATAATTGATTGCACTGATCTGTCATTGATATTAGTGATGTTATTGTTTTACTTCTGCTTTTGACACACAGTATTATAATATTAAATTGTATTGTAATTGTATTGTAATACTACATTTATTAAAAGCATAATATGTATTACTATTGTTGTTGTTGTTATGCAATGTGAATTTGGGATATTAAATGCAAAAACGGTCTAAATTCATGGTCTCAAAATGGTCAGGAGGAAGAGCTAAGATTGAATGGTTGTAAAAGTATAGAAATTATACAAATAATACGTTAAACATACTTGGAGATAAAGAAATCTGTGTGTAAATGGACCATCATTCTACACCTCAGATCAACTAAAGCTGCTTTCTTTAGTTAAATGACAGTTATTTGTAGAGTTATACCCTTAGTGAACACAAGCAAACTCACTCACCACCAGCTCATCCATTTGAATTCCTAAGCATTCACCCAGAGGAGTTCTGTCTATAAACAAACAGATGCACAGGATTGGAAAACTGGAGGCACAACTGTACAAATCTCTGCCAGCCCCAGTCTCAACACAGCGGTTGGGGTTTTCATTAAAAGTTTAAAGTTACTTGCTTCTCTGTTTGTGTTGGTTATGATAGACCGTGGGAGGGTTTGGGTGGGAGTGTAGAAGATGAGTGTGTTTTAGAGGCTTCCTTTGTGTATGTGTGTGCGCATGCCTTATATGTTTATGTGTGTGCACATAGATATGTGGAGGGGGATCTTTGTGCGTGTGTCTGCACTTTTTGTCTGCTGTCAACAAACTCCCTTGTTACTGTGATTATATTCATCCTCGTGTCTTTCCTGATCTTTATCATGAGCACCGACATCCGACCCAGAAATAGACTAGCTAGATATTCAAATTCATTTACAATTCTATTGCAGCTATTTTATTGAGTGTTTATTATTAAAAAAGCTGACTGAGTAATTGTCAAACATTATTCAGTATCAACAGTACTATTCCCTTTATTATTGTTCCATGCATAGGCTAATATGATTCAGAATAATAACTTCAAGGTGTTTTTGGCATACTAAACCTTTAAACATGGACTAAACCAATGTCTGTAATTACCCGGACCTTTAAAAGACATCCAATAAAAATCCTCCAGATCTATATATCCATTCAAATGAAATCATCTCCTCTCTTCAAATGCCCTGTCAATGTCTTCTTGTTATCTGGGCCAGACATCAGTGCAAAAGGAAGCTATGCACATCAGTCTCTGTTATCAAATGCTTTATTCTACAGCAAGCTGTCCATCTGGAGATGCTATCAAATTAGACACTGGTCTAGAAGCTCCTCATTGTCTTCACTGATTCCACAATGCGTTCAAAGCCTTCCAGAGCTCAAACAGCAGCTAGTGTTCCTGAACAGCTGCCTTAATTCTGCTGTCCGAGAAGGGACTGACCCAGAATGAATGCTTTTCATATCTGCTGATCATTGTCTTCGTGTCCACATCCCTAAAGCCCACTTACACTGTCTCCCGAGGGGGGAAGCCATTTTGGCAATTATCCCCCTTCCTCTAGTATCGAATGGAGACCGGGGTCATGGGTTAATTTGAATGGGCTGAGCTGAATGTCAAGTTGTGCTGTAACATCGAGCTATGAGGAGCTATCACTGATGATTAATGATTACGGGAAGTTAGAGAGTATTTGATGTGGTTCGGAGAACGTCTGATCTGTCAGCGTTATGCAGACAGTTACGTGGAAATACACAAATCTTTCAGCTGTCTCAATATCCTGTTTGACTGCCATTGTTTTGTCATTTGATAATCAGTCCATGCTTCTCTCGATCTTAACCTTTTTTCCCAGGCTCCAATAGTTAGTTTTAGAAGTATAGTTTTAGTACTTCATAAAATAGAAGTGTAGTACATAATTATAAAGTAAAGAAATTGGGTCAATGGCGTGACATTCATTTTTTTCTTTTCCATTCATTTGTTCAAAAATACAATAAAAATGCAATTTGTGCTTACAGTAACTTGAATACACATTTAAGGATGATCATGACTTTTACAAAGGATGATGCAACTATCTTCATTAAGGACATCTTTTAAGAAGAAAGCCTTATTACCTGCCAAATCAGAGTCATATGGAGTGACCAACAAAGTATTGTGGTCTAACCAACATGAAGAAAATTAAGAAAAAATAAACTTAGGCAATTAATAAGGTCAAAATGTTTCCTAAAATATCAGGTAATTTGATGTTTTTATGATGGTTAATTCAGGTTGTAAAATTGTAATGATAAAAATGTAATGATATTTATAAATTGATAGAAATTGATCTAAATTGAATTCCTGATATTTGTTTATAAAAGTATTTTTACCTTAGATAATATAGTTATGTGTTTGTTTGCTTATTTATTTATTTATTTTTATGCGTTCATGTGTGTTAGGTGTGTCATGTGTTAGGAAAATCTATTATTACTTTTTATTTGATGGTTACACCACATGATAAATAAATAAACACACACTCGCACGCACGCACACACACACACACACACACACATATATCTATTTATTATCATGTATGCTCTTATACGTCATTGACCCAATACCAGTTATTATATGAGAATATGTTTGTGCAGTTCAGATGTGAGCACATGCATAATGTGCATGTGAACAAACCATGCTTATGCTGCTGACTAGTCCATTGATCCCACCACAGGCCAAAATGGATTTGTATAGCTCTATTCCCCACAGTGGCATAGTCACAAGATCTAGCAGTAATAATATTGTGGTTACTTTAGAGTCCCCACCATGTGCAATAAAGTATACAGTGCATTATATAGGTTTTATCCTTTTTTGTTATTGTGCTATATAATACCCATTATTCTGAACCCAGCACGACTGGCCAGGGGCGCAGTCCTGTGCTCTGCCAATCAAATATGCTGCATATAAGCTAGTGTTATTCAGATAAGCCAAACTCTTTGACAATTCCTGACACGCTACAGAACATTCCGAGATCTGCTATGCAAACAAGTTTGTGATTCCAGGTGCCGATGAGTGATTCCTGCCGTTTCTGTGCTCGGGTGCCCTGGCTAGTCTTCTTAATAAGGGAGGGGACCTGTTCTTGTTTATGAGCAATTTTACATTGCTGTAGTCAGGGCGGTGTTTTTAAATAAGAGTAATGCCTTCATAATAGGACATTTCCTTTTTAAAGCCTCTCTGCTCAGCAGGGGCACATTAAAATAACGCGATTCAAATGAGGCTGTCTGATGTGACTGGTGATTACAGCATTCTGACACGCAATTCCATCTGTCTCTTCTGTCCGCAGAGTAATGGATCCCTTGGATGGTGTCAGAGCCATAAACAGTGTGCAAAGGTAATTTCTGTCAAAATTACACAGCATTTCACAGCAGCTTGACATAAAAGCCAACACAGATCTGTCACTGTAAAACATTGGTATGCCTGCGCACCTCCTGTAATGACATCATACATCATCGTAAAAGCTACTGTATTTGTCAGCTATCGCCTTGGACTATTATATCTGTGCTAGCTGGTTGTCGTACAGAAATGAGATTATGATTCACTAGCAAAGCTAGAGTTCACGTCTGTAATGAGACTGATACAAATGGAGTCGAAAGGCTATGTGTTTTGATTCGCGTTATATACAGCCGGTGTCATTTTCCTTTTTCACTTCAAGGCGAAATGCTAATTTCAGTAAAGAACTCAACCCACTTTTCTTAATGAGGACATTAACATGCTCTAGCAGCCTAGTCATTAAATAACAATAATATGCCGGTAGCACGGGGGGAATAGAGCTGACATGTTGCCAATGCAGATTTTCCACACATTTCACTGTGGTATTATGTAAAGCTCCCTTTGATGTATTGTTAAAGAGGAGGGCCGCTTTCCTTTCAATGCTCTGCGCTTGCATTCCTTTACATATCAACCAGCTATTGCAGTCCGAACAATGCCGCACAGAAAACCTTCTTGAATGTACATCTGGACGTTTAAATTTTTTTCGCATGTTACGGTTAAGTGCCTAAGCAGACTTTTCATGGCTTGAGGGGAGGCTTTAAGGATTTGAGATCTTTAATGCATTGATGTATGTGTGCATATGGTTGGAAAGAGTGCAGTACGTGTATTCATATCACCCTCGGGGTAAGTTCACTGGAACAGCCAGGGTTCTGACCTCTCTTCTACGATCCATGAAAACATTTGGCCAACTGGTTCATGGATTTTTACTGCGTTCTCCAGAGAGTTTCTTCCGTTGGATTCAAATGAGGACAATGCCTTTTAAACTCTTTCTGCTCATTATACAGGATCCACAGTCAGTCAGAAGCCCAAATGCTTCATGACAGTGTGTTTTTGAAACCCTATGTGTCTCAAATAATGTGGTTAGTTTTGTCATTATGAGAAGAGATGTACAAAACTACGTATTTTCTTATTTTGTGGGTTGTCTGAGCACACAGACTTTCAGTAGGGTAACTTATATAACTTACACTCATATGTTTTTGGATAATGATTCTTATTATTATCAATGTTAAGAAACCCACTTAATATATTTGTGGAAACTACATGCACTTCTATTCAAAAGTTTATGGTAAGATAAAAAAAAAACTAAATTACTTTTGAGTATTTTTTCTCCTTTTTTTTTTTTTAAATCTTACCACAAACTTTTGAATAGTAGTGCATCACTATTTCCACAAAATATGAAGAAGATACATCGATAATAATAAGATGTTTCTTGAGCAGCAAATAAGCATAATGATATCTGAAGGATCATGTGACACTGAAGTCTGGAGTAATGGCTGCTGACAATTCACCTTTGCATTGCAGGAATAAATTACATTTTAAAATATATTTTACTGTTGTAAAAATTTTTAGAATTTTTAAATTGAGAATATGCAACTTCTTTTTAGACTTTTAATGTGCAGAAAGTAAAATAGCATGTTAAAGCACAAGCACCGCACGCAGCGTTTTGTTTCTAATTATAAATGGTTTGCTCTTAGTACACTGAAATGTGTGTCATGTGTGTAATCTCCCATTAACATATAGCCCATAGGATTCATGGCTTTAATAAAACTAAACTTATTTATGAGTCTCTGTGCACGATAAGTTTGAGTTTTTTGCATAACATCGATGGTTTGCTCTGGAATTACAGACCTCATTCACTTCCACTGGCTTTTATGCCACATTCAGGTGAATAGGCCTCTAAAAGTGTTTAAATCTCACTACAAAGTGTGCACGTCTGATTAAAGAGCTGTATCATATCACTGCATACAGACACAAAGCAGACTGCAGCTTTTGTTTTCCTGACCTTGTTTCCCGCTTCATTCCAGAACTAGGATTTGCATTCAGCCTGTGTACACAAACAAGCATTAATACTCCTAATAGAGTGTTTACAAACTAGACTTGTGCTTCAAAATCCTGCCTCAGACATTAGATCAGGGGTTCCCAAACTCGGTCCTGGAGGGCCGGTGTCCTGCAGAGTTTAGCTCCAACTTGCCTCAACACACCTGCTGGTAAGTTTCTAGTATGCCTATAAGAGCTTGATTAGCTGGTTCAGGTGTGTTTAATTGGGATTGGAGCTAAACTCTGCAGGACACCGGCCCTCCAGGACCGAGTTTGGGCACCCCTGCATTAGATGTTCCTGCTCAGAAGCTAGTTTGTTAACTTGCTTCTTGCCTAGAATTGACCTAGTGGTCTCCTCTCATCAGCTTTTGAATTATAATAACTATACTCAGACAGCACTTGACCAGCTCTCCACTGAAGTACTCTTCAAAGTGATTAGCGTGTTATAACTACATACAGCAATTCCTCCAATTCAAACGACAAATGCTAAAGTACATAGACGGCCCTCAAATCGAAGATCTGCTCTTGAAAGTTATTATGCTTCCACAGCAAGTGGCCTTTAGGCATTTGATATTCAAATGCCACTGAAATAATTAGTGTGCCTTGACAGTTCTCTTACCCTCCAGTCTAATCGCTGGTTCAAGTATTAATGCTGCAGCATCAATGCAATTGCAAAACCGAGAGTGCAAGCAATTTTCATGACATGGGCAAGATTTCAATTACAGTTGCTCTACATAATTTGCTGAGGCTGGCAAAGTGAGCGTCTCAGTGCTAGTTTAAACAAGGACTGGAACCTTCTTTTGTAACTGCAATTTGGCCGAATGTTTGCCACAGACATGGCTGGGATTCTCACATTCCATCCTAGCATTAAACACCCACAGCAAGCATCGTCCAAACTCACTTATAGAGGGCGCCATGGCAGATTTTTCCATTTTATTCAAAAGAGACAGGTCTTATTTTTCACCTAATGCTAAAAAGTACAAAACTTGTCTGGGTTTGTTCAAGGGCAATGCATCTTAGCTGAACTGGAACTCACCCAAGGCTTCTCCTCAGCTCAATCTCTATGTCCGCAGCTCCTAAATAACCTTTATTTTGTACAGTAGAAGGGAATGCTTGATTTGAGACTGAAATGGGGCGGAAAACTAACTGGCGCTAGGCTACAATAAAGACACTGGGAGCGAACGCTTTCATGGAGATTACAGGTGCCTCACGGACAAAAGCGTAGTGGGTTTGGCACAAGCCAAAAGGTGGCTTTAGAAAGGTGAAAGCCATTTAAACCCAGCATTGCAGGATTGGAATACTTTAAGTGATTTATAGCTTAGATCTGTGCTGTGCTTTCTCCACCAACATGCAATGCATCATAAAGGGCCGCTACACAAAGACAATGAGCCATTGAGTGCTGTATTTGAGAGACTGATAAATGAGACTAGGGTTGTGAATGTGGCGATCCTCAGAACAAGCTATTGTTTGCAGTGGTTTAGGTTTAAGGGTGAGGGTGAATGAGATTGTAGTTTATAAAGAGGCCCATGAATCTACTTGTCATATGAGGTATGAATAATATCTGATCAGTTATAAAGTGTGTGGGTAGGAGGTAATTGTCTTGCATCGACATCAGCAGCATTGCACAAAAATGCATTACCTGCTGAGTGTTGAGCGAGGAGACGTAGATGTTTGTAATGAATAAGACTCAACAGTTTTTATCTGATAGAAGTATAAGTTTAAAAATCATATTTATAATTTATGTGTGGATCAAATAACATGTCCATGATAAAGAAAAGGGATAATCATCATCATCATCATCAGTGTTGGGGAAAGTTACTTTTAAAAGTAATGCATTACAATATTGCATTACTCCATAAAAAAAAGTAACTAATTACGTTACTTAGTTACTTTTTATGGAAAGTAATGCGTTATGTTACTTTGCGCTACTTTTGAAATCTGGACAGGGCTTGCTTGTTTGTTTTTAAAATAAAAAAGTTATATTTTTGGCAAATATAAAAGCCTTTTCACACCAAAAGTGAAATGAATAAGCCTCAGGATGAAGGGAAAGTAAATTTACGTTCGTAGAGTAGAATGCAGAAGAAGAAATTTCAACACACTTCAGCAATAAAAAAAGACACAAAAATGTTTGTCTAGAGTAATTTGTGCTTATTAGTACAGTTGAACTGGATCATCGAAGGTCAGAAGCAAAGACATTGGTTAATAGAATGGGATTAAATACATAAAGGATATTTGTGTTGTTTTACATTTAATTATTGCAGGTTTGCGTCATATTCTGAGTTGCATTATTTTTATTAATTTTGAGGAATACTGAATCTGTGTTTTTTTTTGTGAGTGAGATTAATTAATGCATATTCACATTTATTTTAGAACTACAGTAACATCTTCTGATTTCTCTCAACATGGGGACAGGAGAGCTGTCAATCAATAAACTGAAAAAAAAGTAACTTGCGTTACTTGTAATATATTACCCCCAACACTGATCATCATCATTAAATTCTTTAAATGAGACAATTTTCTTTATTATTATATTTATTCTTAATTATTATTATATTGGGAAAAATAAATTGGTTGTAATTGCAACTTCAATATCAAGTATAAAGCAGCTTTACAGGAAACAATACAGTGTCATGATTTGAAATCAGTCTAATTCACTTGTTCTCATTCAATATTATAAAGTACTTTTTATAAAAATAAAAACATTATTAATGAATAGATCTGGACATGAAAATAAGGGGCATTGATCTCTGTAACTCCAGTCATTTCATACTAATTGGCTTGTGTTTTACACTTATTGGAAATGATAAACATGCAGTAAACGTACTGCATAAGGTCTAGACTGTAAATTAAACTTTAATTATGCAATGCTTGAAATGTCATTGTTTTATTTCATGTGACATAATGTGGTGTGCATGATGGATTGATATTTGCACGCATGGGAAACAGAAGCAGGCAAAGCTGAATTCTCTCAGCTGCACAGGCGACTCTGAGACAGCGTTTCGTGTGTTGGAGCACACAAGCTCC